CTTGACTCTGCTGCTGCCGGGGTCTCTCTGCTGGGATCTCGGATCAAGGAGGTGCTTTACTCCTATTTCCACATTTTAGGTATCTGTCAGAGCAGCACCCCACTCCCTCGGTACCATAATCTGTTTTGGTTACCTAGTGCCACTTTGACAGGAATATATACCACAAATGGGATGGCCTTTATTCTCTCCCAGTTCAGGAGACTAGAAGTCCAAGTTCAAAGTGGCAGGCTCTAGGGGCTGGGTGAAAGCCTCTCAACCTTAGGCTTCAGCTCTGCTTCTGGCTCCCGGCCCACTGAAGCTAGAGGCATCTCTTCACTCAGGCAGCTACTGGTGCTGAAGCTAACAAGCCCAAGATTGACAAATAAAATGGCCCAGTTCCAATGTTACCAAAGCACATGGCAGGCCATTAATTCAAGTCCATTGTAAGTCCCAAGGTCAGCAGAGCATGGCAGGCTGCCAAAGAGTGACTCGGCTACATGCAAGGTTGAAGCGTGCCATAAGGTAGAGACCATTCCCAAAGCTGTTTGTTATATGTGAGAAGGTGACCCATACCCAAAGCAGCTACTCAGCTGCTCCAGTAGATTCCACCATGGAGTCTCACCATGGCCAATACCTGCATTCAACTGCCCAGCCACTCAAGCAGGCCCAGACAAGTCGACACGCACTTAACCACCACACCATGTGTCTTTGGTTTTCTTCATTCTTTTCTCTTGGAAGGGCTTTTTTTGTGGGGAAAATGTTAGACTGAGGATAGCCTTAGGGAACCAATAGATAGAAAGGTACAAAGAAGCAAATAGTATAAGAAACTTTAGGAAAAGCTTTCTCATGGCCAGAGCCATCTGTAGAGGGATTTAGACTGTCCTTAGAAGAAATTAGGTTCTGACCCCTGGAGGTAAGCAAGCCAAGACATGGACTTATATAGGTGATTGGTGTTACCAGTGGAGTCTCTGGGTGGTGCACAGTTAACGCATTTGGCTGGTAAATGCAGGGTTGAGAGTTCAAGTCCTCCCAGGGGTGCCTTAGGAGGAAGACTGGTGAACTACTGAAAAATCAGCCATTGCAAACTTCAGAGAGCACACTTGTTTTTTTTTAATTTTTATTGTGATTTGGGTGAAAGTTTACAGAGCAAATTCATTTTCCATACAGCAGTTCATACACATTTTGTTTCATGACATGGACTGTAGTCCCCACAGTGTAACAGCTGTCTTCCCACTCTTTCCTATGCATTCCTGCCCCCTGAGCTATCTCTCTGTGCAAATGTTGCCCTTCTGTTTTCCCCTGATACTTTCCTGGGGAGTGTATCTACCTGGTATAAATGTTCACCCTTCAGGCCTGTTGTTTGGCTGGAAGCCACAGCAGTGAGTTCAGTTCCAGGCTTAAAGACTAAGTAGGGGCCATGGCCTCTGGGGTTTCACCAGGCTCTATTAGACTAGTAAGGTTGGTCTTTGTTTGTTCCACATTGTTCTCGTACTCTATCTAGGACTTCCTACACTGATCCCTTTCTGAGTGGTTGACAGTGGTAGCTGGGCACCGTCTAGTTCTTCTGGTCTCATGGTCATGTAGGCTGAAGTTTGCTTAGTTCACTAGTCCCTTGGACTAATTGTTTCCATGTATCTTTGGTTTTCTTCATTCTTCTTTGCTCTGGTTGAGGAGAGACCAATTGTTGCATCTAGATGGCCACTTGTGAGCTTTTAAGACCCTAGTTGCTACTCACCAAAGTAAGATGTACAACAGTGTTTTTGTGTAGTATATTATGCCAGTTGAGCTTGATGTCCCCCGTGACCATGGTCCTGAGCCCACAGGTTGGAGCACAGTTCTTCTCTGATGCACATGGGGTTGCCATGAGATGGAGTTACCTCCGTGGCAACTGGCTGTGATGGTGCTTCTGTTGGGGGCGCTGTTTGCACTGGGTAGCATTTCAGCTCTCTCCCGGGGCTGAGGTTCTAGGATTCAAATGCTGTCCTCATTTCACCTTGGGGAACTCTGAGGCCATTGTGACTGTGGCAGTAACCCAGGCACGGCTTGTTAACACAGACACAGCCTGCTCACACACCTTGAGATCCGCAGGACAGCAGCCTGTGAGGTATTCTCCCTGGGCTGTGGGTGAGGCGGAAAGCACCAGATACTTTGATAGCTCAGGAAGGTGAACTCAGGTCCTCTCCCTCCTGCAAGAACTGAGATCTTCAACCCTTCACAGTTGACAAAGCACCTTTGCACGCCTGCCCTTGTCAGAGTGACCTGAACTCTGCCCTGCCTGTCCTGGGGAGAGAGGGTGCCCGCTAATGGGGCCAAACCCACTCATCACCCCACGGGGCTGTTGGATTCCCTTACAGGCTGCCTGCTCCAACCCCCAAGGTGAGGCGGTGATAGGATCCGTGACAGATGTCTCCATTTCGCCTTGACATTTGGTTTCTGATAGGAGGCCTGGCGTCTAGCCAGCACCACCTAGCAGGGCCCTGTGGTACTGTTCCCGGCTTTGTCTCTGGAGCATGCTGGCTAGGGAGCCAGGGTGGCCCCTGTGCTATGTCTCGGTAGAAAAGTGCTGCAGAATCCATGCTGAATAGGCTCACAGCCTCTGGGTTGACTGCTGGCTGTGTCCTCCCCTCTGGCTGGGCTCTCCGGGAACCCCAATGGAGGGAGAACAGAGGTGGGGTTCTGATTATTCTGATACAAAATACAAAGAGACAAAGATACTGGTAGAGCAGGAATTGAAACACAGATATTTAGATTTAGTGGGGACATTGGTGGTTCAGGGATAGTATTCTCACCTTCCATATGGGAGCCCTGGGTTTAATTCCAGCCAGTGCCCCTCATGCTCAGCCCCCACCCGTCTGTCAGTAGAGGCTGGTGTGTTGCTGTGCTGCTGAACAGGTTTCAGTGGGGCCTGCAGACTAAGACTAGGAAGAAAGGCCTGGTGATCTCCTTCTGAAAATCAGCCAGTGAAGTCCCTCTGGAGCATGGCGGGCCCCAACTGACCATGGGATGGCTCAGGACCAGGCAGTGTTCATTCCTTTATGCAGGGGTCCCCATGAGTCAGGGTGACATGCTGGTAATTAACAACATTTAGATTTAAATTTGTTTCCTCCCCTCGTCGTCCTCCCTGTAGCCCCTCTTCTTCTTAAGGTGTGATCACCAAACAGCAACAATAAGAATCTCTCCCACGTAGTGAGGAGCTCTGGTGGTATAGTGACATTTGGTTTCTGATAGGAGGCCTGGTGTCTAGCCAGCACCACCTAGCAGGGCCCTGTGGTAATGTTACTGGCTTTGTCTTGACATTTGACTCCTAAGACACTTGACTGCTAAGCAGAAGGCTGGTGGTTCAAACCCACCAGCCACTCCTTGGAAGGAAGGGTGGGCAATCTACTTCCGTAGTGATACTGCCTCAGAAACCCAAGGAGGGGTCGCTATGAGTTGGGTCCTTCGACGGCACATAACTACAACAACAACACATAGTGAGCTCTTCCTGTCTACCAAACACTGCTGCTACTGCGTGCATGAGCTCATTTAGTCCTAACACCGCCCTGGGAGCTGGGTATTGTGCCTGTTTTCCAGATGAGAAAACTGAGGTCCAGAGAAGTTAAATATCTTGCCCAAAATTATATCACCAGAAGGGATGGAAGTGGGACTTGACCCCTGACAGTCATATACTTATTGATATGGGGGAAAAGACTGGGATCCCTGGAACAACAAAGGTGCACATCGCTGTTGAAGGAAGGACTGCTGTTATTTCAAGGCTCGGTGCTGATGGGCTGTGCAGGGTTAATGCTCATCTTCCTGCCGCCATGAGGCCTTCCTCGCGGCCTTTTGCTGGCAAGAGTAGGGGGAGCAGCTTTCTCTCCAGCCTGCTTGCATGTCTGCACCCCCGGGCTGAGAGTGAAATCAGATTCCCCAGAGTGTGGGGCACACGTGGGACACTGGAGACTGCCAACATGATTTTAGGTGATTTTTCAAAATGCAAGTTTTGACCCATAAGTAGACTGTAAAATCAATTTAGTGATTCATGATCAGCATTAAAAAAGAAAGGAAGGGAGAAATGAAAATGAAATGGAGAAAATATCGGTAGGGTAAGTATTTTTGTGATGTTTTATTTCCACATACATATATGTGTGTGCTGAATCATGATGGAATGTCTTTCTTACTGTAGGCTGTGGTAAAAACTGTTTAAAAAACATTGTTTTAGGAGGTATGTGAATTAATTTCTTTTGTGCTCTACAAAACCCAAAACCAAACCCATTGCCATCCAGTTGATTCCGACTCATAGCGACCCCCATTGGGTTTCCAAGGCTATAAATCTATGGAAGTAGATTGCCTCATCTTCATCCTGTGGAGCATTTGGTGAGTTTGAACTGCCAACCTTCTGGTTAGCAGTCAAATAAATGTCTTACCCACTGTACCACCAGAACTTTTTTTTTTTTGCTCTAGTGGCTTTATTTTTATAGTTGATGCTGATTTTCCATATGTTAGTATATGTTTAAGGAGCTCTGGTAGAGTAGTGGGTAAGGCATTTGGCTGCTAACCAGAAGGTCAGCAGTTCAAACCCACCAGCTGCTCCAGAGGAAGAAGATGAGGCAATTTACTTCCATTAAGATTTACAGCCTTGGAAACGTAATAGGGGTTTCTGTGAGTCGGTATCACAGTGGGTTTGGTTTGGTTTGAGTATATATTTGATTTTTTTTCCTTTAAATTTAAGTTTTCCTTAAAGTATAAACAAAGTACATCTTTTAAGTAAAAATAAATAAAAAATAAGAATTGTAGAGGTGGTTCATGGATATGGGAGTGTGGGAAACACTGCCTTAGGCTGAGGGACTCTTGGGGCCCCACCAGGCTTATTGGGATCCCACAGAGCTTTGAAGGCCTAGGTTCCCTTTGGTCGGCACTGGGGTGAGAACTGCCACCTCAGGCTGGGTTCTGTCCTTGGGATGGTGGTGACTGCCGTGTTGGGGCCTCAGGCCTGCCTGGTTGTTGGGACTGTCATTCTGATGGGGGCTTCTGTGTTTCAGGAACCTGGCGAACTGTGAGCGCCTCATCGAGGTGGAAGATATGATGGTGATGGGCCGCAAGCCGGACCCCATGTGTGTCTTCACCTACGTGCAGTCGCTGTATAACCACCTGCGTCGCTTTGAGTAAAGGCCTGGCTACCCAGGAAGAGACCACGGGGCGAGGGGCGGCCGCTCGTTTCTTCCCACGTCAGGCCCAGCCTCCAGAAGAGCTGCGTGGTGTCGGCGCTGTTTGTTCTATGGTGTGTTACCGTGCTCCCTTCACGCCCAGCTGTGTGACTGATTAAAAGTCCCGCCGAGCTGTGCTCCGACTGGTGATCGCAGCCAAGGGCTTGAAGGAGTAGCAAAAATGACCTGAGAGAGAGAAATTGGTGCTAAGTAATTGTCTCCTTAAGAAATGCTTGTCCTTGTAGATTCTGGAATGCTGAGTTTCCCTCTGGTCAATTTGATCCATTGGCTTTGCAGGATCACTTTGATTACCAAGTGTTTTTTCTTTTTTTAATCAAAATACACAGAGTTTTTTACTTCCTCACAGTATTGTAGGTTCCTTTCCTCTATCCTGGGCTGCTGCCAGGAAACAGAGAGGCCACTTAATCAGCAGCTTGACAAAGAAGGCCCAAGTCTTGGGAAGAAAACAGTTTTATCACTGCCAGGTCTTAGCAACAGATGACCTTCAAGTCACCTCCACTCTCTGGGGAGACAAAGCTCTTGCCTTGGTCCCAAATTGCTCCTGTTCTCCCCGGGAGGCCCCACAAGTGTTTGGCTAAGAATAGGCTCTCGGGAAGTTAACACTTTTGGGGAAGGACAAGCTCTTTATGCTGAGAGGTAGTTTTTATTCACATCTCTTTTAGAGGATTTGCTGCAACGTATTTATGAAAAGAAAATAACTCCATCTGTACTGGTAACCGTTTGTACATAAAAAAGATGTGTCAAACTTCACTTGGGATTCGTTATTTCTGTGTGGGAGAGATGGAGCCTGTGAAGAAGAGATTTCACACACATTCTGTGTGAAAATCAAATGAAATTCTCGCTGAGTGTTTCTGTACCTCAGTTATTTGCCTTTTGTTGTTGTAGTTGCTGTCAAGTTAGCTCCCAACTTGTAGCGACCACCTGCATAACAGAATGAAATGCTGACTGATCATGTGCTGTTCCTGTGATAGTTGGCTGGTGGGACCGTTGTGGTCCAAACGGTTTCCATTGGTGGATTTTTGGAAGTAGACCACCAGGCCTTTCTTCCCAGGCAGGCTTAGTCTGGAGGCTTCATTGGAACCTGTTCAGCATCATAGCATCATGCTGGCCTCCACTGACAGACTCTAAGTGGAGGCTGCACATGAGCTGCATTGGCTGGGACTTGAACCTGGGTCTTCAACTTAGAAGGCAGGACTGTTTCCACCACCACTGTTCCTCATATCTCTGAAAACCAAACTCACTGCCATCAAGTCAATTCTGACTCATAGCAGTCTCCATTGGGTTTCCAAAGCTGTAAATCTTTACGGAAGTAGATTGCCCCATCTTCCTCCCACGGAGTGGCTGGTGGGTTTGAACCACTGACCAGGTGGTTAGCAGCCAAATGCCTCATCCACTACACCACCAGAGTTCCTTTCCTCATACTTAGGAAGCTAAAGATTACATTTCTTGCTCCCTACTTGCCTTCCAGTCCTGATCTCCATGTTGTCAAAGGAGCATGATCAGAACATTCCCTTTTGTGGATCTATCCCTTTGACACTGACTGACGCATGGAGAATAAACAGTGGCCCGAGACGGCAGGTTCTAGGGTGGTCCTACACTAGGAGGAAGCCCATGAAGGAGGGCTGGTTTATTTTCACAGCTGTGTGGTGGTAGGATTTGAATAGAAAAATCACAGATTCCATAAAACCACAGTTTATTCTTTTCAAGAATCATTTTAGAATTGGGTTGGATTTTAGCCGTAAAGTTCTAAAATTTCCCTTTAAGGAGCTAATAGGTATCTTCATCTCATTCTGTGAGCTCTTCTGAACACCACCTTCTGTGTGCCCTCATAGAGTCACATGAGTGTCCTGTGCATATGAGTTGGGGCACAGTGGGTGATTCTTGGGGATGTCAGGAGGGGTGGGCTGAGTTTGCCAGGTGGGTGAGTGGGAGCTGAGTAGGTTTGCTTGTTCAGGCTGCAGTCTTGCTCTGTCTTTTGGATTTCCCTGTAGTCAGAACCATCCTGTCCCTAGCTCTCTGGTCTCTTGCAGCCCTGGGAAGGTGATCCCTATAATTAGCAGGGACACAGAGCCTGGGTCTTTTTTCATTCTGAAGCTTAGGGTTTCAAACCTAAAGCCAATTTGGGAACACAAGGGTGCTATAAAAAGCATGCCTATATGTTACTGAGTACGCACACATGTTAAGTGGGCTCTCCTGGGTCGCAGGTGTGACCTTGCACCTCTGTACATAAACCAGAGCCGAGCCTGCAGGGACAAGAATGATTTTTCTTAAACTTTCGCAACACTGTCCCTCAAGTCTCAAATTCAGAATAACACAAACCCCCTGCCATTGAGTTGATTCCGACTCATAGCAACCTTATAGTTCAGAGTAGAACTGCCACATAGGGTTTCCAAGGCTATAATCTTTACAGAAGCAGACTGCCTCATCTTTCTCCCAGGGAGCAGCTGGTGGGTTTGAAATGCTGACCTTCTGGTAAGCAGCTGAGCACTTAAACCACTACTCCACTAGGGCTCCCCTCAAAATAATACAGACTAGGTATTTCTAAGGTAGATTCTATGATATTTTTGTCCTTGGTCTTGTGGGGAAATGAAGGCTCATAAGATTAGCATGCTTTAAGCTTGATTAACTGTAGGACAAAACCTGAGAATTCCAAGGCATGAGGGACAAAGCCAGAAGGCGGCACAATCTCCAAACATTTGAAAACGGCTGTTGTAGGTGGGGGCGCCTGGAAAGTCCCGCATCTGTGAGATCCAATTCGGAGCTGCCCTGTGCCGGGGTGCGGCTGGTCTCCCACCTTCTCTTCTCTCTGCACAGGATTACTTCTCAGGCTGCCCTTCAGGTTCTCTGCTTTTCCATATCCACTTCTTCACCTGGATTTTGTTACAATTTATTAAATCTGACCAAACTGGCTTGTGTATTTCCCCGAAGTGTTTCACCAGAGCCAAGATGGGTTTTAGCTTTTCTGACAGCTGATGGATATTTTTTGACTATCAAGCAAGAGCCTATAAGCGTTTTCTGAATATGATATAGCACGAGCTGGTCCGAGGAGAAGGTACAGGCCAGGTGTTTGGGGAACAGCTTGTTAAAGCCAATGGATTTCGTAAATGTGCTGGAAGATGAGAAGTTCTCAGCTTTCCGGCAGCAGTGGTCAGCGCTCTGTAACTGGAGGAGACCAGCATGAGGGAACATTTTATTTTCTGCCATTATGACCAGATCTCCAGACATTTGGGTGGAAGACTAAAAATGCTCATTCACTTGGTCACTTTCAGGTGGGACACCTTACTAGTTGAGTAGAACCTACTCTGGCTTTCTTTTTCCAGCTGGTGACAGCTGACCAACTCATTCTGAGGAATTGGTGATGCCTGGGGAGACAGTTTGATTCTGATGTTTCCCGTCTTGTAGCCTGGTTCTCCCCTCTGCACTATTGGCTCTGCTGAGTTATAAATGCACACAAACCAAACCAAACTCACTGCCGTGGAGTCGGATCTGACTCATAACAACCCCTCCTGGGGTTTCTGAGGCAGTATCACTACAGAAATGGATTGCCCAACCTTCCTTCTGAGGAGTGGCTGCTGGGTTTGAACCGCCAGCCTCCTGGTTAACAGTCAAATGCCTTAGGCACCACTCCACCACAGCTCCCAATAAATGCACTTGATATTGTTATTTCTGAGCCATCTTCTCTCTCTCTTAAAGTTGCCTTTGATCTCTTATCTCCTGGTGCTTGGACTTGCTTGGATACCAGACAGCCCTCATAGTCCTTTGAAGGAGCACATTAAAAACCCCTAGGCCTGCCTCCTCCCTAAGGAGCTGTGGTGGCAGTTAACCAAAAGATTGGACGTTCGAAGCCACCAGTTGGTCCGCAGGAGAAAGATGTGGCAATCTGGTTGTGTAAGGATTTACACCTTTGAAGACTATGAGGCAATTCTACTCAGCCCTAAAGGGTCACTGAGTTAGAATTGACTCCTTGGCAGTGGGTTTCGTGCCTCCTCCCTGGAAAGCACCAAAATCGACGTATAACTTGACTCCTCAAAAACTTAACTACTAATAGTTGTTGACCAGAAGCCTTACTGATAACAGTTGATTAACACAGTCCTTGCCATACAGTTGTTAGAAGCTTCCAGGAAGACTGCAGTGTTCTCTGTGGTCTCCAGGCAACCTCAGCTGGAGGGAGAGGTTCAACCAGGTGGAAGAAAGAGCTCATGGTTAGTGATAGCTGCCTTTGAGTGTGTCCTGACTCCTGGGGACCCCTGGCACACTCTCATAAGCTGACTTCCGGAAGTAGATCGCCGGACCTTTCATCTTAGTCCAGATGCTCCACTGACCCCTGTTCGGCATCAGAGCAACATGCCAGCCTCCACTGCTACACGGGTGGTGCTGACATGAAGCCCGTTGTCTGGGACTCGATCCTGGGTCTCCTACATGAAGGACGAATTCTACCACTGAACCACCAATGCTCTGGAAAACCTGTAAACCAAAACCAGACCCACCGCCATCTGGTTGATTCTGACTCATAGCGGCTCTATAGGAGAGAGTGGAACTGCCCCATAGGGTTCCCAAGGCCATACATTTTTAATGAAGCAGACTCATCTTTCTCCCACGGAGTGGCTTGTGGGTTCCAACAGCCAACCTTTTGATTAGCAGCCGAATGCCTTAATTACTGTGCTACTAGAACTCCTTCAAAGAGCTGAGACTCAGTCTGGGACAGGAGATGTGCTTGGGGCTGGAGGCCTCACGATCCCTGCACTAGAGAGATGTCAAACAGTGCTTCTGTGCACCTTGACTTCACCCTCCTCCCTTGAGTTAATCCAGGTTTTTCCTGCCATGGAGGCAAGAGTCAAATACACAGTCAACCCTTGAACATCATGGAGGTTTGGGGCGCTGACCTACCATGCAGTCAGAAATCCACGTATAACTTTTGACTCCTCAAAATCTTAACTCCTA